GGATGGACTTACGAACTTCAGATGATAAGGAAGTCTCAAGATGAAATGCTCGATTGTTATGGCATTTAGAAGGTGTCCTCCCACAACAATTGTTGCCTGACATGACAACAAAAGTTCAGTTTGAATGTCATGAACAACAACAGCCCCACCAAACAAGATGGCATACTCATTTTACCTTCTGCATCAATGTCACAACTCCTTCATGACTCTCAGGTATCCCATGCTCTAAATATGCCTAACGTCACACAATGCAGCCTTGTTAGTTTCTTGATTTAGGACTCTAATTATCAGGTAAATGAAGATTTTGTAGTAACTCACGTTCATCATGCATGAATTGTAGGTATTGATCCAGAAAGCTAGCTTCTCCTGATGGTTAAGACCTGCCAAGTTAACCAAGGCGAGTCTCTGGAACAAGTTTCTGTGCATTACAATGAATAGCTTCATTCAGATAACAAAATCACCAGAAATTTTCAGGCAAGAAAAGACATCTGCACAACTTACTTTAGCCTATGAGTTAGATAAACTGCGCTACTTGATCGGTTGAGATCCACGGAGCTAGCTTCGATTGCACAGAGATGTCTATAGGGACCAATGTTCCTACATTTGAAATCTGAACAGACCTCATAAGGATCTTGCAACTCTGCTGGTCCATTTGAAGTTTGAGTATCTGATGAGTCCATAACTTTGTCTTTTGATGAACTCAGTCTTATGAAAATGGAACACAAACACTTCACAATGTCCTCAGAAATTTTGTTTGGCGAGCTACTACCCTCTGTATCATCAAACAAACTAGATGCATTCTCCTTTGCTCTTTCTCGATCCAATCTAAACTCCGGCTGCAAAATTGGAAGCAAGTCAATGAGTTATTGAAATTTATTTAGGTTGAAGTTAAATTCAATATGGCCAAGCAAAAACCTGAAACTTCAAAGGACTTGAGTTCTTCTCCAAAAATTCTTGCTTGAAAGGGGACTTCTTCAATGGGCTTATAATTCTATCAACTTTCTTTTCAGGAGATGGCTTACTTTTCACAGAATTTGCATATGATTCATTCTCCTTTCCCTGCCCATCTTCTGGAAGAAACAAAAAGGAACTCGATTTCCCAGGAACATGTTTCCCATTGCCAAATCTGTTACAACAGTTTCCATTACGATCCAAGAAGTTGTCGTTCGACAATAGCTTTCGACTTGAAGAACATCTGGCCAGTGCAGGCTGCAGCCTGGCTATTGAGTTTGCAGAATTGAACTCATTTTGGCAATATGATTTCGTTCTTCGATGCTTCGAAATTCTGGTCGATATGGGATCCATTGTGTCGGCCGAATCGACCGAATTCCTGGTGGAGGATGATACATATACAGCTTCCTGATAGAGCCCTTGTCTGAAATTTACAATCTGTTCTTCTAGCCTAACAACCTCTTCCTCTAGAACAGCTACTTCAGCAAGAAGTTCTAGTATCTGCAACAAGGAAGGAAACAGGAAATTTCAAAATTCTAAGTGTTATCCATTCTTTTCATGAAGAATAGAAAAACGAATGAAAAAGAGAGGATGAAATTTGCAGGTTATACTAACATAAGGAGGGAGATATGGAGGAAGACGAGGGAGAGCTCCTAGAGGTCGAGTAAAAGCTCTTTCCAATGCCTTATGAACATTCTCTTCATGTCTGAGCTTCTTCTTCAGCTTATCAACCTGAAAATTTCAAAATTACAAATCCATCAAATAACCGACATTTTCCCTAAAATTGCAGTTGGAGAAGGACATAATTACATCTTGTAGCAATGCTATTTTTCTTTCTCTGTTCATTCTGTGTCGATTTATGATAATCCCAGGTTTGTCATTCGCCATCGTCTTGCTCCTCCCAGTTTCTAATTGCTTCACCTTCTATCAAAGTTCAGGGAACAAAAAACAATCATAAAAGTTGATGAACAAAATGTGCATAAAAAAGAATAAGAATGGCAGTCATTTCCATTTTCCGGATAGACAAACAGAGGGATTCAGAAGGAATTTGATGGGCAGCTTTAAAAGCTTCAAATTGTAATCAAAGTGAAAGCTTAAAACCAAATAAATCGAAGCGCAGGCTAATTCTGTGGGGAAAGCAATCTAAAGTTGGAACAATAAGACAGCTTTCAGTGGAAAAGGAAAAAAGAGAAAGCAAAAGAAAAAGGAACAAACTAAATCCACCTTGTCATGATTATGAGTTTTGACGGTTTGAGTGCTGCCGCGGACTCTGGCATTCATCTTTTACTTTTGCTGGGAAAAGAACAGGAATTCCACCAAAAATCAATATTCCCACAACCCGAAAAAAAAGGAAGCGGAAATCGAAATGAATAAAAACAGATTAAACCCAAAAGACAGCGTTTTGTACAAAATAATAGAGCGGGAAGCTCAAAAACAGAGGACCCAGAAATCGAAAATCACCTGCAAAATATAGTGTGTGGTTTAGGAAAGCAATGGTGGGTGTTTGAATCTCGAAGAGCGTGAAGGAGAAAGCAGAAGAGACGACGAGGTTTGGTGCTGAAAATGCGCCTTCCAAAAAGAGAAATTACAGAAGCAACAAAACCCAACTGCAAATCACAACAAGGAACAATTGTGCAAAGGCCAAAGCATTATTGAAAAAAGGAAAAACAGGGTAAAACACAACATGATAAACTAGAGCTCAGCAATTGAAGTTGAGCCGAGCATGTTTTTGTTTAGGTGTGAATGTATAAGCTTTTGAGCGCCAATGAAGAGAGAGACGGAATTGTCGGATGGGTGTTTGGCGTACAGCGAGTCGAGTGACAAAGTAGGATTGTCCGAACTGCTTTTGGTGTCCCACACCAAAGAGAAGAGAGAGACCCCGCTTGTGTTTTGCATTTAACTCTCACGCTCCCATTTCAAAATCTCTTTTTTTTCTCTCAACTTAGACCACTTTTAGTCTCATTTCTTTAATTACTAGTATTTTCTCACGTGCACAAAAACTAAAATAATTACAATTAATGACATCATATAATTCACCTATCAAATATTTTAGGTGGAGTACTTTGTAACGCCCCAAATCCACCGCTAGTAAATATTGTCTTTTTAGGCTTTTCCTTTCGAGTTTCCCCTCAAGACTTTAAAACGCGTTTGCCTGCTAGGAGAAGGTTTCCACACCCTTATAAATATAGTGGTTTATTCTCCACCCAACTAATATTTGGTTGAAAAAAAAAACAAAAATCAATAGACATACCTCTCACAAATTTCTATATAACATTGCTCCTAAAGTTAGATTTTAGCTTTTTTATTTTAAATTATTTGCATTTGATATGATTTTTTATGTTCTTAATTTTTTTTTAAAGTTAAATGTCTACTTTTATTTATTTATTTATTTTAGTACAACTTTTTATTTTTTAATTGACAGCCATGATAGCCTAAATGTATAGTGGTGCCATCAAATTTTTGTTTATTCAAGCAAAGAATTTTGATGTTTTTTTTTTTAAAAAAAAAAAAAAAACAGATGAGAGAGTGATAATCAAGTTTTGATCTTAATTAAGATAGCAAACTTCAATTGTCTTTCAAGGGGGTTTTTTTTTTAAAAAAAAAAAAATATCTTTGAAAAATGTACTTTAAATAAAAATAAAATAAATATTAAAGTGCATTTTGAAAGGAATGACAAAAGGAGGATAATTTTTGGTACATCAAAAAACGTGAACAAGTTTTTTGGTTAATTGAATTGTTACAAAAGTGGTACGCGTAAATCCCTTCAGTCGTACACGAGATTCAAAGAGGTCAATGGGCAATTTTTTAAAATAATAATCCTGTTTATTTTTTTTTTTTAAATGGACTATACTATCATTTTAGTCCATTAATTTAAATAATATATTTATTCGTGTAGGTCCAAATATTATTCAAATTATATAAATAATATTCCACTTGAAGTTAATCCTCCTTATGTGAATCTTCCTTCTTCTTTTTTTTCTTTTTTCAAAGAATATATTATACCGATTGAGAACTCCCACCAGAGAAGAGAAGTCCATGACCACCCTAATAGATAATGTCCTCGACACGAGGTGTATTGGACAAAAATACTTGATTAGTTCGTAAACTAACTTTAAGATACTAGGATTAAGAACCACGAATTTAAAGGTTATGCTCGCATCAAAGATGATAAATTGACGCATACTTAACTAACTACACTCTAAATCTAATGACACAGAATGAAAGGTATCTCCCTAGACAAGAAATAGATCAAATGGATAGAACGACCTAGAAAAGTAACTCACCCCACATTACTTCTAGTGACGGTAAAACTTACAATATCAAGGAAATGATAATTAATAATTAAGAATGGTAAATCAAAAAGGGAAAAGCTTGCCCATTTGTATTCACGTTGTGGTTAGTTGAGTAGTAATTTAGGTTTAGAGAAAAAGAAAAGTTAATATCAAAACTAATTTAGAATACATCTTGGTTTTCCATAATTCATCCATACAAAAAATAATAACTAAAATTGAAAAGTACAAAAGAAACATATTTGGTTGTGCATGCAGGAACGTGAGAAGTGATGCCAAAAGCTAAGCTAAAGCAAGCACGCACATCATGAATCACGACAATTTTTTATTTTTTTTTTTCTATTTCAGAAAAAAAGATTCCTCTCCGTTCTTTTTCTTTCCTTTCCTCTTTAAGTGTTCTTCATTCTTTCTTGCATTTCAAGAGTAGGAAATTGCTAAGCATACCCATCATGGGCCCAAGCCCTGTCTATGGGCGGGCTGTATCTGTGGTCCAATGGACACCCTTTCTTTCAACTGGCCCACTTACATGGCCCTACACCCCCCAAAACCCAATTTAACTACACAAGCAAGCACCCTTTCTTTCATCAGGGTTAGTCTCCAACCACCCATGCGAGAGATTTGTGATCCTATAATATATATAGATCACGCCATTGAATTGCAATGATAATGAAAGAAGAAACGCTGCTCCTCTACTACACCTGAGCTTTGTTTGGAACAACCGAAACGAAATGGCAAGCAAAAATATTCTCAAAAGCCACCGATTTTTTTTTTCTTTTTTTTTTTAATATTAATTGATCAAACTTCAGGATGATACTGATAAAAAGAACTCCCAGAAATTGGCTGGGACTTGGCAACGAGAGTTTGGGGACTCGTTTCAAAAAAGCTATCAGAGTCCCTTTCTATGGATCTGGGGATGATCATGGAAGGCGCATCCTTTGATTTGTTAATCAAATGAAGTCCAGAGAAGTGATCACCCCAGATATCATATTTGTATTTATCCTGAATCCTACACTTACCTTCCCCATCTAAACTACCTTTTCGGTTGAAGAGTTTTGAGCCAGGAGCTCGAGCATGCGGTGCAATTTTTGAGGTTGGAGCAACAAGAGAGGAGCATATGACATTTGGGACAGGCCTCCCAGCAGATGGAAAAGTGGCTGAAGGCAGCAAAATTGGTTTACTGTAACTATTCCTTGAGGGAGATGAAGCCAAGTTGTCAATGCAATTCTTCACATTAACTGCAGGTGGTTTCAGCGCATTGGTGACACAAGTAGGTGTAGATGGTGATGCCTTGTGACATTGGGTTTTGTCATCCACCTGAGCAGAAAAGAGAGTCCTCGCCTCAATGGACTGGTTCACATCAGGAGACATACCCCATACACGTTTCGGTGAACCAAATGCAGTGGGGGACAAAGGGGACGAAGGCGTAGAATTACCACTTCGACTACTGGAAACTTCAACTAGACCACCTAATTTTATGCCACCTCCCTTTTTCTTCTTTCGCCGCCTCCCCCTCTCCATATCAGTTTTCACTGTCAGGTAATTTGGTTGAGATGCTTCTGCGGCATCAGAATTCACAATTACATGAGATTTTGCCTGCATGGATGATTGTGGTGTTCCCTCTCCTTCAAAAACAGACCAAACATTCGTGAATTGACTGCTTTTCTCACTAGGATGCACAGAACAAGTCTTTTCTACATTTCTTGTGGAACTGCATACGCATAAGTCCAGAAAGCTCAAAGATATCATATGCGCCAAATTCCAACACAAGAACAAGAACATTACAGGAGCAATTAGGAGAACAGCGAAAGAGAATTTCTTCAGCCGTGTCCACAACACAGATTTTCTGCAATTATTGAGCATAAGACTGGCCTTCATGGGTATTACAAGAATACCATTAGTCAAGGCCAGTTCAAGATCTCTATACACTACAGCGGAAGAAAGATCAATCTGGTATGATATGGTAAGGTTTTTTGACTCTCCAGGTTCAAGGGAAAATTCTTTACAATTATGTACTAAGAAACCATCTGATGCACACTCTGAACCTGATATTTTAATCTTCTTGAATTCCAAAGGAAAGTCGCCAGTGTTCTTAGCATACAACTCTTTAGATAATGACATTGTACAGGCATGGCTAACCTCTTCCACACGGGATGACCTTTCTGAAGGGGAGATGTTGAGCAAAATTGGGCATTCAAGCTCAAACTCTATACCCTTAACAGGCTTTGAACTCTTAAGAAGAAGCAGAGAAGATGAACCCCCGTATCCTCTCAACGACAACCATTCTACACCAGATAGATTATTTCTTACGAAAACTGAACTTCGGAAGTGACATCCATCAGAAGGGTAAAAGATTATTGGCCCAAAAAGCACATTCCCATAAGGATGAACATAAGCCTCCGTAACAGCATCCTCTGCTAGTGAAAAACCATACTTCTTCGGCATAGTAGAGCCATTGTGAATCAAACCACCAGATGGATGGATGACAAATCCTTCAGGTTCTCTGCATTCATCAGTAATTTCACCGGAATTACTAATTAGCTGCATTACAACCGGCCACTTGCTTGGATTTTTTACAGTAATCCACTTAGTAGAATGACTTCCAGCCTCGACCATGGGAAAGAATACCTCGTGCTCATCAAGCACAGACATGGACCTTCTGGTCCCCATGGAAACCCAATTTTCAAGCACCAATTCATCTGCTTCTACTCTCTCCACAGCCTTAAATTCAAAGAAACATCTTGGTCAGTTATACAAGTATATACAATCAATGCATGAACGTGTATAATATGGATGGAAGGGGAGAAAGGAAGGACAATATCTCATGCTGTCATGCTCGCAACAAATATTAAATATAAAAAAGAAAATTAAAGTAAAAAAAAAAAAGTTTCGAATTTATAATCCTAGCACATTTGCCTATCAAAATCAAAGTCGTTAGTAGCTCTTGGCTACCAAGCTTCACAATTGCCACCCTTAATAAGTGGAACAAGGATGAAATAAAGTTGAAGACCAAAATACAGACTAAGAAAAAAAGTTGAAACTGCAAAAACCATGACATTAAGTCAGAAAGCTACATGAGAAGATGGGTGTTTGTACGAAAGTATATTCAGCCAATAAAGAAAGTGGAGGTGCAAGAAACTTCAACTCAAATTAATTGAAAAGGCATTCTATGAACTTAAAATTACAGCTTTTGATTTTACAGTATCCTACAGAAATATTCAAAAAGTGAAATGGCAATAAAAATGCACAAGTAAAGAGTGCAGTCATACCAGCAACTATACTATTGGATAAACATGAGAAAAGTACGCTAGTAAGAAACAAATTTTATCCTTAAATGAATGACAACAATCTCCCAACATACAAACTGTAATACTTATAAATTTGTTTAAGAAAATATGTACCTCGATTTCTGATTCTAAACGCACATGATTAGCCAAAGACTCTGTTCTTACATTACCAGATGCGATGTGTACATTTTGCTTTCCATCTTCCATGAAAGAGTACTTCCAGTATTCTGAACATTGAAGGAATATATCCTTGCAAGGAATTTCAATATGAGAACTAGTTGACTCATTTGTTGACACAAGTAATTTACATTTACTATACATATTGAAACTTTCAGGTGAAGCCTTGTGAAAGTGAGCATCTTGCTCATTACAGGCAATCAAAGCAACTTGTGTGACAGTTCCAGGGAAAAGTAGCAAGCCTTCCAAGCTTTTGAACTTAAGAACCTTGCTTTCAGCCACTTCAATAATCTTAAGAACACTCAGCAAGTGAGAAGCACTGTTCTCCAGAGCAATGGCAACAAAAACATTTCCACGGTATAATAAAGGCTCAAAAGATGCAAATACAGACCCTTTATGATCATCATCGATTGACCCCCCTTCAAGTTCAGCTTCCAGAGGAACCGCAATTACATCGGGCTTATCCTGTGAAGGCCTAAATAACTGCAGCCAAAATGTGCCAATGATTGTCCCTCCACGTTCAAATGACAAATCCATTTCCATAATAGTTTCATTGCTGTGAGGATCTATCTTCCACTGTTTGTTCGGTCTCATAGACAACAATGGTGAGCCTATATGACCATGATGGACAACCAAGCCTTCTTTCTTAATTGATTGCTTTGGCTCATCAAATACCTGATACCTATCTACTCTACAAACAGCTTCTGTATGGTGACATTTATCCTCTTTGAAAACTGATATCCATCCTGTTAATTCCTCAACATAGAGAACATCATCAAAGGGATTGAATAAAGACAAATTGTTAGTCCATCTCCCACTTGAGTGTATATTTAGGCTTAACAAAGGCTGGATTCCATAAGGTGACTGAATGGCAAAGCCTTTAGCCGGGATCAAAAAACCACCCAAACTTGTCTGCAAAATCAGATGGGCAGAGGACAAGCCCAAATATTTTGGGTAGAAAACAAAGTAAATAGAGACTGATTCACCAGGTCCTATTAAAGCCTCTTTAAAATTGCAAGAGTAGAACTGTGAGTCAGTGCTGAATGGTTCATAGATATGTAGAATACTTTGGTTGCACGTATTCATCACAGTTAGTGACGCTAAAGAAGGAAAGTATAAAAACTTATGTCCCCATTCCAATTCAGTGGGACTAAGATCCACGTTGGGAGATAAAGAACTATCTGAAAAATATGAATTTGTAACAACATGATCTTTCTTTTGTGTAGAACTTGGGCTTTTCAGGTAATGAAGATCCCCTCTACATGTAGAAACATCCAATTTAGTCCCGCTATCATGTTTTTCTATGGAAGACAGCTCATTAACACCCTGTCTTGAGTTTAGAGAACATGAAATTATGCCACCTTCAAAAAATTCAAATACACCATAATCTGATGACTGGCTTTTGTTTGCAGCCAACTCGTCATCTTGAGTCGATCCGACGGGTGGTGGTGTACCATCAAACTGACCCAAAGACACTTCTACACCCATCCGTTTCTCATGAAATGTAAAGTCAGGCAGCGTTGAAGGAAAGCAAAAAAAACGACTGTCAGAACAAACACTTTCAAAACTCGAGCGGGTTGTTGGATTGGTGCCTGAGCGAATATCTGCAGGAAAGGTGCTATGGAGGCCATTGGCAGGATTATTCATGTAGTATCCAGCGTCTTCATTTGACAATGATTGCAGCTCAGAAATGATGCATGGTCCACATGTAGCATGGTAAAAAAAAGCACGAGACAGAACTAGAATAAAAATGATTGCCCTGGTAAAGTTTGGATAAAACAGTCCCCTGAAAAGACCAAAAGGGTGCATTCCAGTCATTCGGATAATTTTTCTCCGACCAACATAAACAAAAAGTACAGGAAAGTCTGTAAACAACGAAAATCAGACACAATAAATTGAAAAGCTAGTCAGATGAGCTGGTTGAAAATGCAGAGGAGAGCATACAGAAGAATTCACGGAATATGTCTACGTATGTCCAAGACTAGCAGTTTTTGAACATGATGGTCAACAATATCCAACCGCAGCTATAATGACAGATAAAAATCTGATCACCTTGATTTTTCTTCTTCAAGTTAGATGAAAAGTGTATTTAACAACAAGCTTTAAAACACTCGATGATTTGATTCCGAAAATCATGGAGACGGTTCTAATTTGAACCGCGAAGAGATTAGATTAGCATACCTATTAAGAAATTGATAGGCCCCAGAAAGCAATTAACACCGGCAGAAACAATCGGAGCCAAAACCACCAAGCCAACTTATCATCCAAACCATTCTTAAGCTCGGAATAAGTTCAGATGAAAAATACGTGCACAAAATGATTAAAACTCCACAGAGAAGCATTCGGAAGCAACAAGCAATCGCAAAACAACAGCTGCAGTAAAATGGATACGACGTTCCAAGAAAAACAGTGACAAATTGGAATAACCAGAGAAAGGAAATGAAATCGAACTGATAACTGAACAATCCCGTTTTCCAGTTTGTGAGAACATCGGAAGTGAAGTAGGAGGATGACATAAAAGAAGGACAAATAAAGCGGTAGTAACAGTAGTAGAAGTAAAGAATAAGAGTGAGCTGAAAAGGATGATGAAAGCCGAAAGTTTACCGGGGAAAAGAGAGTGAGAGCTGGGTTGGAGCTCTGGCATTTAGGACTTGGAACTCCATGAAGAAGCACAGAGAAATAACATCTAAGTTCCGACGGAAGGAACTATTCTTTTTAGGGTTTTGGTTCGAAATTGCGTTGGGTTTCTTCTTCTCGGCGTTCAACACCTGATAAACCGAACACCAAACGGAAGGCTGCCGGTGAAAACAGGGAAAAAAAAAGGTGTAAAGGTGAAAAATAGCCTATGTTTGATTGAAATTACAGAAACGCCCCCATGACTCCGCCCAATGATTCACGGCGTCGCTTGCTGCCGGAATCAATTTTGGTCGGTCTGGCTGGCAAATTTAGTCGGCGCGGACACCCATTTTTTTGGAGGATTAAAATTTAAAATTTAAAATTTTGATTTGTAATCTTTGACCCAACAAATGTTTTGGAAAAGGGAATTAATTCAAATTTGTTGGGACTTCAATTAAATGTATTCCTTAAATCAGTATATTGGGTGGAAATCAAAGGGTCAAGTTTGTTGGGTAATTTACTGTATAATTTAATGAGTATTTTTCATAGAAAAAGAAGAAAGAAAATATCATACCCAAATGTATTCCAACGATTATTAATTACGTTTAACTAGTTTCCTTTTACCTTACTAATAAAATGAAATTGCGAGATATAAAAGAATCGGATGGATTGTATATCAATTTACCAAAAGTCATTTGAATCCATTATAACAAAAAGCTAACATTACATTACATTACTAAGCCATTCCAATTTGATCCTCAGCATGAATAGGTCCTATAAAATTAACTGATGGTATAGATATTGTTGATTCCTAAAAGTATTAGCCGTTAACAATATAATGGTATCTAAGTATCTATCGACAACCATTCTTACCATTTCTCTCTACAATAATTTTGTATAGATTAATGTTCAAATTGAATTAGTTATATACATTAATAATGAATCTATCATCATCACGAAGAGTAGTTTCGGGAATCTTGAATATTAAGCTCAAATTCACTTCCACGCGTACACGCATCTTGGTTAAAACGAGTAACAATATCTCATATATGATTCATGTGTTTTCTGTTTTTTAAATTTATTTTCTGAAACAGGAGTGTTTTGTTTTTATAAGCTCCAAGAGATTTGTATTCATAAAATAATGGGTGGGCAGAAGTAGGGCCAGCAAGGAGGCATGCAATACAGTATACACCAGGCTTACATGCTGGGAACTTTTTGGTTTTTTTACAGAAAAAGAAAAGTACTTTTGTTTTTGTTTGTTTATAAGAAAAAGAAAAACACATCCACCTCTATCCTCCTGTATTTTAGCTCATTAAATATTAGAGCATGCCACCAGTAACTTTTAACAAAGACCCCAAATTCCACACGGAAGTGGTTAAATTATTATTTTTGTTTTCTTTTTTTAATGAGATATGTATATTTTGTTCATTGATATTGTAAAGTTTTGAATTGAAATCAAAATTATAATGATATTTTATTAATAAAAATGAACAGACAGATAATTTAATATAGCTATTTCAACCTAACAATATTAATTGTTGGTAGATGCTGATTAAATGGAATTAATTAGTTATAGTTTATTGATATCTACCGAATTTTAATATACAGGTTTATAATCATTTAATATTGAGTTCAATCTGTATAACGTTAAAAAAAGTGAAAAAACAATTATTAAATGGGAAGTGTGGAAGATTATTGTGTTTAAAATTTGAGAAATAAGAAGAGAATTTGAAGTAAAAAAGAAAAAAGGGATTAAATTTAATTGGGAAGAAAAGGGAAGAGCTGTGAATAAGGGGTTGGCGGCGGTCTCACAATCCCCTAGATTCGTGTGTCCAGATGTCGGAATCTGAGTTAAGAGGCAGGCGGGCAGGACCGTTGGATTTGAGGGTGTGGTGTAATTCCATGGTTTGCATGAAGAGAAGAGTCGGATAGTGGCCCCCACCCTCATCCACAGCGACAGCGTAAACACTAAGGCGGACTTCACGCTCCTTTGTTTCTTCACTTAATTCCCTATTTTCCTCCTCCAATCAAAACGGATAAATTCCTATTCTCATTCTCATTTTTTCATTTAAAAATCGTTAATGAACTAATTTAAAACCACAATTTCATAATTATTAATGCATCATACACTTTTTTTTTTCTTTTTTTAATTTACATCTTTAAATTGTTTTTTTTTTGGTCAATTTCCATTAAAGAAAATATTTTTTTTTTTTTTCCAAATTTTGTAGGAACGAATTCAAAAAATTTATAGCATCTTTTGTTCGATCCGACCATAATAATTTTTAAATAGATAAATAAGAACACTTTAAATTTTAGTTGGGATATTTTTATTGTAACAAAAATTTTCGCTAGATCTAGAATAACTTCAATCATATTAATTTTGTTGTTGTTCGAATGCTCAAAATGACACTTTTGAATAATTTTCTTCACTAATTAATTAATGGATATAAGAAAAATCATCTACAGTAATTCCATTTTTATTAGAAATTTTTTTAAACTAAGAACTGAAAGTAAAAAAAAAAAAAAAAAAAAATCGAACCAAGTGATATAATTTATTTATTTATTAATTTTTTTTAAAAAAAAACTAATGATTGTTAGGGCCTAATTTTTTAGATTTATTTTCTTTAATTTGTTCCCTTCAAGTTTACTCGTGTCAAAGAAATGTTGGGCTTGGGCCTTTTCAGTATTGATGGGCTTGGGCCTTTCTTGTCTCCACTATGAATGAACTTTGAAGAAAGGCCAGGGAATCCATAATCTTACATGGGGAATCTATGAAGATATGTTTTTTTCCGATGGTTCTTGTTTTCTTTTGAGAAGAAAAAAAGAATTCTTAAATGGTTTGATGGCCATTAATTTGATTAATGTATTCATATAATTTCTTTAAAAATGATTATTTAAACCTATTTTAATTAAGGCGCAAATTGAATCTAATTAGGCAGCAGAAAAATGTGATCTCATATTCTCATCAAAAGCATATGGCATATCAATCTAATTAATCAACTCCAGCCCCCCTCCCAAATAAATAAATAATGAAATAAAACTCTTTGATGGAATCTCATCTTACTTTTACTTAATCTGATAAGACTCTTCGGTGCCCATTATTTAGCTTTTCCCTCTCTTATTTTTATTCCCAATTCCCTCTTTTTCCAAAACATATGGATGTGAGTACGGGAATTTTTAATTATTGTTCTTATTATAAAATGTTTTAATTTCTAAAAAAACTCCGAGGCTAAACTAGAATTAGTGATCTATATAGTTAACACAAACATGTAAATTAATATTGCGGAGTGTTAATCATTACATTAGTAGATGGGTTTGTTTAAATCTCACAATTATTGTAAGAATATAAATGGGAGAGGGAGTAGGGTTGGAATTATGAAGTGTGAAATTAATTAGGCATTAAATGGATAATATAGGTAGGATATTGTGTTGGCGAACCTAGGGAATGTGACCTTTATTTATTTAATTATAATTAATTAATTTAGACATAGGTTTGCTCAAGGAACGTAAGCCTTTCCTATATTTTACCTGCAACCAAAAGGTGATGGGAATAAGATTCTAAACCCATTCGCTTTATTCATCAACCACCATCCACTCATTGTAATCCATCTCAACCTATGCATTTTCAACTTATTCTAGTTTCTAAACTATAACCTCTGTCTTATTTTACTTTTTTAAAATATAGTTTTTCATAAACATATTCCCTAAATCAAACGAGGATTCGACTCATATTATGTAAAGTATTGTGAAAATATCAGACACTAAGTATGAAAATAAGAGATGATTTATGAAAAGAAAAAAGGAAATATTGTGGAGATGAGTTTATGAAGCATAGTTTATTCTGTAAGATGGGCGCTGGAATAATAGCCATCTAATGTTGAGGATCCATACACCCAACACAGAATATCATGCAACTTTATTACACCAATGGACAATATTATATGTTGGGTGAACAAAAATAGTGGTGTTTTGTAGGAAGAGTCCCAAGAGGCCTTTTATATTCACTTTGTTTCCTTTCCCAATCAAAAGAATCATTCCACATTATGATCTATCCAATCATTTCAGATATGATAAGTTTTAAGTCACATATTGCCTCAACTCAATACCTCCCCTCGCCATATATTTGGCAATGTTTAATAAAACCACCCACCTAACCTCCTCATTCTTCGTATTTTATAATTTTTTTTTTTTATTTTTTTTATTTTTTAATGAAGATGAAATTGAAATTAAAAGGGAAATGTGTATGTTTTATTTATTTATACACACACCCAAAAGAAAAAAGGAAAAAAAAAACACAGCACATGCTTCAACTTGCATGTTTTACGATCAAATTTCACGAAATGTGTCTTATTTGGTGGGGCCGAAACCCTTATTGTACCATGAAATGAAATAATTAAGCATCTTCAAACAAAAAGGAAAAGGAAAAAAAAAAAGAATAAAAATAAGATTCTAGATTCACTCTTGGATTTGTTGTCTTTACCCTCCATTTTAAAATAATTATTATTCTATATACATACCTATTTAACTCCGAATAAAGAAAGAGATTAAAAAATGTAGTAGTAAATTCCATTGAGTAACTTATGATATATATATTATAATATGTTGAATTATATTCAAATGGTTATGAGATATGTTGTTTATTACATAAGTTAATGAACTCTAAATTGGGAGTGGATCATTAGGGGTGTGCCCACTTAAACTAACTTAACCACCATTATTCAATAAAAAAGCAACCTTTAAATTAATTTTTTTTTTCTCGATCACTACCTAACCTCCTACCATTTTCCTCCACTTCCATTTTTTTTTTAATTGTTCCTTACATCCTTTTGAGATTCAATGACTTTATTTTTAAATTCATAACATTATCATAGTTAGTAACTCATACACTCCCAATCATTTTCAAACTTCTTTTGTTTGTTTTTTTCTACCAACAAAGATGTTCATATGTAACATAATTATTAAAAACATTTTTTTATTAAAACAAATAAACAATACTTTTGGATCTATTGATGTTGTTTTTATTAGTTCAAAACCTACCATTTTATTTCCTCTCCATTTCTTCAATAATCATCATCAAAATTATAAGTCAAATATTAAAGAATGGGCGGTGTTAAAAGAATATATTGGACGGCTTACATTTATTATAAAACCTACTATTTAAGTTTTTATTCTCGTAAATGGTTTAAGATTTATAGCATTTTGTTCTTAATTTTTTGGTT